CTAGACCTCTTCTCTGAGCTCCAGACTCATATATCCCACTGGCTACTTACTATCTCTACTCAGATACCTCCTAGGGTCTTAAACTTGACATAGCATGAAGAGAACATTGATTTCTAGTGCTAAGCTCCTCCTTCTAGCTCTTTCTTGCCCAAAACTCTAAGTCTGTTCTTCCCCTTGGTTAATGCCACCACTGTCTACTTGCTTAAGCCACCTGCAAAAGGTTTTGGATTTACTCTCAAAATATTTTTAGAATCCATTCATCTCTCTCCATGTCCAAGGCAATAGCCTAGTCTTTTCCCCAGACATTTCTTTAAAGGTAAATCAGCTCTCTGACATCTTCTTAAAAATCTTTCGCAAGTTTCTCAATGCAATTAGAATCAATTCTAAAAGATTTACCATGGGGTATGACATTAACTGGCATCAACAAGTCTTGCTAATGATTTTTTTTTTTTTTTTTTTTTTTGCCATTTCTCCCTCATTACCTGCTCCAAGGCACATGGGCCTTCTTTCTGTTCCTACGGTGGGCCGACCTCTTTCCCTAGAATGTTCACATGTGCTTTCTCCTCTCCTTGGGAAAGTCTCTGGGGGTCCTCAACTCCTTTGTATCTTTGGAACTACTTACTGACCACCGCATCAAAGCCCCATCCCCCTTTCCCTTCATTCTCTATTCTAACAGCACGTTTATCACCTTATTGAAATGATTGTTATCTTTCATTACTTATGTATGCTTTTGTTTGACTCTCCCACCGGACTGTAGATTCCATGAAGGCAGGACTGTGTGCCTGACTGGTTGTGGTATCTAGCACCAGTGCCTATTGTAATGGTGGGCACACAGTGGCCTCTCAGTCAGGGTTTGTTGAATAAGGGAAATATATTCGCCTCAGTCAACAGCTCTCAGCACTGGTCACGTTTTAGAATTACCGAGAGAGCTTAAAAAAACACCTATACCCAGACTCCACCCCGAGAGACTCCAATTTAATTAGTGTAGCATGGGGCCTGGTGTCAGCATTTTTAGAAAGTTCTTCAAGGGATCCTAGTGTGTAGTCCAGAAAGAGAATCACTGCCCAAAATGAACTAAGGGGGACCATTAAGGTATTACCAACATCCTAACTTGGGGAAAAATTCCTCAAATCTAGTTTATAATTGGCAAGATGAGAAAGAGCAAATGGACTGAGTTGCGTGGGTCTTGTGAACATTGACACTGGACAGAAATGCAGCACAAAGAAGGCTGGGGAATGTGATGGACCAAACTGGAAGCCATGAGAAGTGGCAGCAACATCTGGTCCAGGAGGGCAACATGTTATCAGGCCATAGCCTGAGCCCACTGTGGCGATGAAACCTTTAGTGGCCTCATCCGCGGGTCTATTACCTTTCCTTCTTTGCCTCCAGGGTTGGGCATGCACACTGGAACACAGAAGGGGATGCTCAGAGCACTGTGACTCCGGCCGTGTGGAAGGAAGACCCCTTCCCTTTCCTTCTCCCCCATCTTCATGCCTCAGGATGCCAAGCCTTGGGTCCCCATCCAGCAAGGGGTTAGACAGTAGACCTGAATGATATCTGCACAAGGAAAGGGGGAATCTTGGGGAACCCAGAGGTAAGTGAGAGAAGAAGAGAAAGGAGGTCTAAGGAGGAAGGAGTTTTCCCTGCGGACTGTGAGGAAGGCCACCTGGGCAGAGAAACAGGGGAGGAGTCTCAATGAAAGAGAGCTGCTCCCCCATGGGCCAGTAAGGGGGTCTCCAGTGGAGTGTGATTCACGCGGGAACAAAAGGACTTCCTAATACAGGCACTGGCTCAGAGTTACAGTGCTTGTGATAAGGCTGTAAATCCTCATCCGTCCACAACTAGGGTGTAGAGCTGGGATCTCCGTGAATTTTACAACTTCAGATAAACATTTCCAAAATGCCAGGGCCTTCTGGTTACTGTATGTCGACTGAAGCAGAAGGAGGTAGTCTGTGATTCAGGAGTGATCTGTTTACCCCCAAAGGTCACCAACCATCAGTCCATTTGACCCTTAAACATGTTTTGTTCTCGTGCACAGTTTTTTAAAAGTTACTGAAATTTTTGGTCTTTAAAAAATAAGGATTTGGGGCTTAAAAAAGCAGATAAGCTACAAATACTATGCCTTTTTCTTCTGCAAGATGGATCTGGAGCTGGCTTCTTCTTTTCCAACCCTTCTCTTCCTTCCTCATCCACAAAACTTTATTGAGGACCTGCTTTTGCAAGAAGTTCAAAGATAAATAAGATATAATGTAAGCACAGGGTCTGTGTGTTCCCGCATATATTTCTGTGCTCAGGTTTTCTTTGCATTAGACCTGGCCAAGGGCTGAGATAAGATCTGGGACTTGGATTAAACTCTGCATTCTCTGAGTCATCTTGCTTTTCAAATACCGGTATTTCGGTTGTCCGTTAGAACTGTCAAATAATTTGTCTTCCAAATGGGCTGCTCTTCTGAATTTCATTCAGAAGCTGGAGCACGAGATGGTTGTACCAGTTAATAAGCTCTTGTATCCCGGCTTCGAACCAGTGCTTTCTTCCTCTGCTTTGTGATGTTGGGTCAACACTACTCCGACTCTAGTTCTGCCTTGTCAGCTGCTTCCCGTTCTGTTGTCAATACACAGCCCTGGGGGCGGGGGGAGGACGAGCAGGATACAGCGCTGGGGGGCTTCCTAAGCCCTTCCTTCCCCTCCTCCCAGCCGCCACTGGTGTCACGCGACAATGTCATCTCCTCAAAGGTCTGACACCCAGCGCCCCGGCCTCTCTCAAGCGTGTCGGTGCTAGTGACTCCAGCCCTGGGAATGGTAGCTGCTTTCTGAGGTTATCATCTCTGAGTCAGCCTAGGGTCTCCATTTCGTGTCGCCAGTCCTTAACACCTGTTTCATCAGTTCCTGACAGCCCTGGTCCTCGAACCTGAGCTTGCATTGGAATCACCTGAAAGGCTTGTTGAACACATTGCTGCACCCCCCCCCCCGCACCCTACCCAAGTTTCTGAGGCAGTATCGGGTCTGGGGTGGGGCTGGAGAATTTGCTTTTCTATCAAGTTCCCCGGTGAGGCAAATGCTGCTGGTCTGGGGGACCCCACTTTAAGAACCACTGCTGGACCTTATATTCCCCTGGTCAAAATAGTGTGTATTCTGTTTTCTGGCTGGCCTCTGCTGCTTTAATGGCCTTCACTAAAATAGTATGCCACCCAGGTCTACCGGTTTGGTTTGGTATGTTGCGGGGGCGGGGAGGTAATGCCAATACCCATTTCTCACCTGGACCTACCCATGACATTGAATCACTGTCTCGGTACGTCTGTCCTCACCCTGTACCTGTGTGCTAACCCCTCTGCCCTAATCTCGAAGCCCTCAGCCTTCCTTCACAGCTTTCATTCCACCCCTCTCCAGCTCTTGTCCTGCCGCCTCCATGGGCCCGCTCTGCTCATCACATCCCATTGGAATTCTGATTTCTCTAAACTGTACTGAGTGCCCAAGCGAACATCTCCTTCCAGGTTTGCCTTCTCAAGTCTGCAAACACGTCTTGAATTGCTCACTGCATGCAGAGCCTCATGCCGGATGCTCATGCTGGAGATACAAAGATGAGAAAGACTTAGACTCTGCCCTCCCAGGGTCACCATTTCTGCACGATTGGAAACTGTGTTATCTGCTTGTGAGAGACAGAACTCCCACTAGACAGAGAACTGCTTTGGTGAAGTGAATTATTTGATTGGCAAGATGTGGATGAGGTAAGACTTGAAGAAGTACGCTCAAGGCTGAATGGGTGAAGGCTGTATCTCGCTGCGAGCTGAGGAAGCCCCTGTTGACCCAAGGCTCTGTTTTCTAGAGAGGGAGCTCAGCAAACTTGTGGCTGGCGTTGATTTGTGCTAGGGGAAGGGAGCAGTGGCCAGACACACAAGGGCCTGGGGCCCGGGGGCAGCCAAAGGGCAATGTCAGTGGGGAAGGAAACAGACTAATAAGGATTTTCAATCTACTGTTTGCTGGTATGAGTTGTAATCTCTCTCGTCTCCCCATGGAATCCTTAAGAGCACTGTGGAAGCTTCCTGGGAATATGACAAAGTACTAAGTCGTTTTATAAGTTTGAAGTGGGGTGAAATTAGAGACCTCCAAGACAAGAATGGCTACATGCAAGTTACATGTACAGTTTTGATTTTCTCGTTTCTTTTCTCCTGGTAAAAATATCCTAAGCACCTTGTGGCACTATCTGGGGTTTCTATTTTTTCCCATCAGCCTTAATTATTGAGTAGGACATGTTACTGATGAACCCATTTCTGAGTTTATTTTTTCTCAGATACACCTATCATTAGGCTACACAAAGTACCTATAGGCCTGAATATGACAACTCATGTGGGCAGAACACTGGCTGTTTATGGAGCCAGTGGATAATTTTTTTTGGATAATTTTTATTTATTTTCCTGATTGTAAATAAATACATGCATATTATTGAACATTTGGAAATATTAAAAGGTATAAGAAAAAGTGAAAATCACCCATAAGTTCACTGCTCAGAAGTAACTACTACGAACAGAACAGATGAGCTCTCTCTCTCTCTCTATGTGTGTGTGTGTGTGTCTATATAGAGGCTAGAAAGAGTATATGTACAATATAAATATTTATATATGTTGTCTGTATTTATATATAATCAAATTTGGTTCCTAAAATCTTATGATTATAAATCTTATATTTATAAAATCTTATACACAGTTTTATTCACTTAACTTTTTGACACAAGCATGCATCCTTTTGATTACATCTTCAAAGATATAATTTAATGCCAGCATTTATCCATATAGACTATCACAATGTGTATCTCGAATTCCTTATTGTTGGATAATTCTGTTTTTCTCCACTTCGGCGATCATATATAATGCTACAATGGACATCCATGTCTGTGTACTGTCACTTTATATTTAGGTAGACCTGTCTTTTGACACCTTGGAAAGCACATTTGTCTTTGTGTCAGAGTAGAAGTACTTTGAAGTAGAAGTAGAATTTTGTGCTCACCTGAAATGAAGCTCAGAAGATACAACCCTAGTGGACCATGCAGGGTTTCAAAGGGCTTGCCAAAAGCATTGTACATGAAGAAGGCTGTTCCCACCATGGTTAGAATGACCAGGATTGTGGAGAAGAGGATGACGTTGACGTGGATGCTCACAGGGATCACTTGGAGCAAATCTGGGAAAACTAAAGATAAAACAAAGATTAGGAGAAATTTCATTAGTGGTAGTCTGCGAGTGTAATTTCAAAAATTAAATCCCTTTTAACTTCAAAAATCACTAAAATCCTTCAGGTGAATACATTCTCACTTATTAATTTACGAGGGATTTAGAAAAAGGTTTAAACATAGGATTATTCTATAGAACTCACCAGTAAAGACCAACAAAGAGGAGATTTGAGGGAATTTTTTCTGCCCTTGGTCATATGTAATTACTTAAATAAACAAGTACTGGCTTCATAACCAAAAACTGTACATGTTGATGACCAAACTTTTAATGACATTTCTCAGTAGTCTTTTTTTTTTTTTATTAATCTGTCTTGAAATGACATTTTCAGTTTGGGGATATCTGGGGGAGTTCAAACATCAGGAAGTATTTCTGTTTCCTTTGCTCCAAAAAAGAAAAAATTGTTTCTAATCCACACCAAGACTTAAAAAATGGGGTATTTTCAGTCAATTTCAATATTTTGATGTCGCACAAGCTGTGGGAAAATAATTTCTGGTGATACAAGAAATATTTTCCACTTAGAAAACATGCCAAATCTATTTCTAGATTTTGTGTTCAGGGCAAGTTTTTCTTGTTTGCATAGGAAATGAAATCCTTTATAAATGTAGGGTCTCTCTTATCTGGTGAGGCATCAGCAGGCTTAGCATCAGCAAACCTGGCAAGACCAATCTGGGGAAGTTTAGTTCAGGCCATTTTAGTTTCCCGAACATTTATCAAGTGCCCTTTAACTTATTTACTGAGCAGCTGGTATGTGCCAGGCATTGTTCTAGGTGCTGGATACAAGATGGACAAGGTTCCTGTTGTCTCGTGGAGATTATAACCTAAGGGGAGTAAGCAGACAACAAGTAAACCAGTAAATTTCATAGCTTATCTCCAAAGATGGCCGCCATCAATTTCTTTCCTCCTTCTACACACATGGCACTTCCCTTTTAGAGGAATTTATTCCTCAGTCCCCTTGAAGCTGGGCTGGTTTGTGACTGCTTTGGCCACCTGAATATGGCAGCAGAACTACAGCGTGCCAATCCCAGACTAGCCTCTAAGAAGATCAGCTGTTCCTATGTCTTTTCTCTTTGAGGCTTGAGCAGTCATTCGGGAAGTCCAAGTTACTCTGCTGGAGAAAAAGGCCACCCAGAGGGGCACCAGGCACTGGAGGGAAGAGTCTTGGACGTACAGCCCAGAAAAGCCTCTGGGTGACTCCAACCCCAGCTGCTGTTTAACTGCAACCCAAACAAGACCTAGGCAGTTGAACTAATAAATTTTTGTTTTAAGCCCCTGACCTTTGGGGGGCTATTATGAGATGGTAACAAAAAGCACTTTCACAGAGTGCGCTGCTATGGAGAAACGAAACAGGGCAATGGAATTTTGAGTGATTGAGTGAATGGATATGGGTGGTCAGCTGTTACACCTGAGCTGGTACCTGAATGCCGGGAAGGAAGTGGCTGTATAAATACCTGGGGAAGAGCATTCCTGGGAAAAGGAACGCAGCTGGGGCAGCAGTGAGCCCGTGAACCTGGTGAGTGAGAGGAGGTGAAGTGGCATTGCGAGACTGAGATCAGACTGTTGCACCCACTGGGTCCTGGTCAACTGACCATGGTAAGGAGTTGGCTTTTAATTCTAAATTCACTGGGAAGCCAGTGGGGAGTTTTAAGTAAGAGAGGGACACAGTCTCCTTCATGATGTGAAAAGGTCACTCTGGCTGCTGATTAGCGGGAATGAGGGGGTGAAGGGAGGGGGAGGGCAGGTGTGGAAGCAGGGAGACCCAGAGGCAGGGAGTATTCACAGTGGCAAGAGACGGGGGCCCGACCTAAGGTGCAGCAGTAGAGGTGGTGAGCAGTTATCAGATTTGGAATCTATCTTGGAGATAGAAGATAGGACTTGTTGAAAGAAAGGAATCAAGGATAAGCAACCGAATAAATGGTAATGCTATTACCTGACATAGACAAGTAGAAGGTGTGGGTCGGGACATGGGAGCGGGAAGTGAGGCAGGAGTTCTGTTTTAGACATTTGAAGGTTGAGTTGTGTCTAAGAAATGTGAGTAGAGGTGCCAAATAGGATTTATGTGTCCGGAGGTCCAGGGAGAAGGTGGAGGTTTTTAGGGAGGTGAAACTAGGGTGAGGCCAGCAAGGTGCCTAGGGCATGCCACTTAAAGGGACAATCACTCTCTGGGATCAACCCCCTCTTGCACGAGCTCAAGCATGAATGTCTTCTTAAATTTTATGACCTAAGGGCCTCCATGGCCTCATCTTGGTATGTGAAGCCAGAGGAATGGCTATTACCTGTGGAGAAACTGTAGCTAGAGGAGAGAAGAGCCCTGGGGATTGACCTGCACAGGAGAGAAGAGAAACCAGCCGAGGAGCTTGTGAGTTAGGAACAAATCCATGGGTGGGAGAGCAAAGAAGCCAAAGGAAGAAAATGTTCCGAACAATGATGTGAATCTATAAGAACACGTATGAAATGATTATCAAAATATGTGAGGTGAAAAACAAACAAACAAACCCCAAACTAATAGAAATGTGCATTTGGAAAAAGCCAGAGGGGAATATATATAATAACACATAACTAAGCACTTAACCTGATTTCATTCTCTCAACAACCCACCTACTACAGGAAAAACTGGGGGTCAGGGGGTGAGGTAACATACCCCAGATTTGTACTTAGTTAAGTGATGGAGGTTTGAACTCCTGTCCTCGCTCTTAACCAGCATGCCAGAGCAGTTTCAGGGACAGGCATGCTTATCCCGGCAGACACCGTTTCTAGAGGCTACACACAAAATTTGTAGCACTGTTTCTGGAGAAGGAGACTGAGAGATATTTCATTATGTACCTTTTGGATTTTTTTTTTTTATACCACCTTGGAAGCATTCTCTATTCAGTGAATGCATAAATACCTAAAAAAATAATAAATGGATAAATGAAGACCAAAAACTCCTGTGACTCACGTAGATTAGAGGTTTCAGAGATTTATTACTAGATGAAATGTACGGATCCTGTTTGTGATTTGAACAAATGCTCTATAAAAGTCATTTCTGAGATAACCAGAGAAAATTGAACACGGACTGGGTATTACATGATATTACATGACTATTACTGATTTCGTTGGTTATATTAATGGTATTGTGGTTATACTTTTATTTTTTTATTTCTTTTTTGTGGTTGTACTTTTAAAAGTCCTTATCAATTAGAAATGATGTGGATGGGTGGGCTGAAAGATAAAATAAGGAAATTCCTCAGCTGCTTGGAGGAATGGCAGGATGGCAATGTGGACATTCAAGTTGTGGGTGCTAAGCCTCTGTGCCCCCCACCCTGTGTTCTGTGTTCTGGGGGCACAGAGTGAAGCAGCTAGTCTTATTCCTCGATGCCCTGGCCTCCTGAGCTTCCAACTGCTGAGACCGTACCATCAATCCAACCTGCTGTTCTTAGCTCTATCAGCTGTTGATTTGGTTTTTACTAGCAGTTATCCAAAAACCCACTTCCATCTTATCCAAAAACCCACTTCCATCTACCTCCCCACCTGTTAAAAGAAGTGGTAACCTCAGCGTCTTTGATAGGGTAGCTAGGTGAAGCCGGTCTGAAAATCGAGGCAGAAAGAAGCTGCACTGATTTGTCTCCTAGAAAGAAAAGCTAGGAGCTAAAATAAATTGTCACATGGAGCATTCTAATTCTTACGAAGTCTCTAACAATTTCCACTCTGTTGAGAAAGTGACCCAGCAGGGCACTAATCCCTGAGAGTTATACAGTTACTTACATTTTCTCTGGTTTCTGTTTTTGATGAAAATTCCCTGAGTCTGTCATGACGACAGGCCAGAACTCTGGGAACAGCCCTCCATTTTCCGACCAACATTCACGTGACTTTTGCTTGGCTGAAGCTGAGAGCAGACCATTCAAATAAATATGGGGGGGTGTTACTTGAACCGTGTCGGATGTGGTGTAGCGAGGAGATAGGTTGGTTTGGTCTTTCCATTCTTTTAGGTTTGGGATTATAACACAGAGAAGGGATTTGAACATTTTGAGCTGCGGAGGGCCTGTCATTAAATCCAGCAAGTCACTTCTGGCCTCCAGAAATTACTTAATTAGCTGTTGACAAGTGAAAGGGAGTTATTTATTAAAGCAGGCAGCTGATGCCACCTTCGTAGGACAGGATTTGGTCTGTGCTTTGAGAATGACTCCTTGTCTTTCATTCTCTTCTCATGGATTTCCCCCACTCTGCGTGAGTCAATGTGCCTCGCTCTCCCCATCTTCAGACTACCCCAGCCCCTGAGTGCCCTTTTCTCTGCTCTTTCATCACCAAACTTCCTCAAAGAGCAATACATGAGTATATATAATAGGACTAAAAATAACAGCCAAAAATGCTATAGCATTTGCTATGTTCCAGGTCTTTACCTATATTGCATAAATGAGAGACTTACATTTTAATCTTTACAACATAAATGGAAACATAAATGAAAGATTTAAATCTTTTCATTCTTACGACAATATAAAGAAGGGACTATTTTATCGTCAATGTATAGATTTAAAAAAAATCCTCAAGGTATAGATTTAAAACAAAACAAAACAAAACAAAAAACCTGGAAGCCCAGAGAAGTCAAATTGCCTAGTCACACAGGGGTATTGCTGTCTTTGCTTTTTACTCCCTCCCCCCCACTTTTAAGATTAAAGTAAAATTAACATCGTAAAAAATTCTCCCTTTTTATTTTCTGTGATTTTTGACAGTCATGTAACTACCACCTCAATCAATATATAGGACAATTTCATCGTTCCAAAAACTTCCGGGTTCCCCTTTGCTGTCCACCTGCCCCCTGCCCCCACCCCCCAGCTCCTGCATGGGTAACGTTGTAAGAAACTGCAAACTGTTTTCCAGAGTGTCTGTGCCATTTCACCTTCCCACCGGCAGCGTAGAGTCCCAGTACTTCCGCGTTCTTGCACTTGGCAGCTTTTTAAAATTGTAGCCATTTAAATAGGTGTG